TGATCTCTGGGAAGGTATCATCTTTTTTCGTGTCCAAATTCGTTGTTGTTGCGTCGTTGCTCTGAGAATCATTGTTGTCAGGGAGACTGTTGTTGTTGTCGTCGTCGTTTTGATTACCATTATTAATGTCATTTTTGGTCATCTTCTTCTTGCGACCTTTCGTTTTTGTTGATGTTACTTGGGTTAGTGTGGTGGAATCACTGGTGGCAGACCTAGTAGCAGTAATAGTAGTAGTAGTAGTAGCAGTTGTCGCAACAGTAGCGGCAGTAGTAGAAATAGATGTATCAGTAGCGGTAGTTGTAACTGTATCAGTAGCAGAAGTTATTGATGTTGTTGCTGCTATAGAAACTATAGAAACCTTATCTTCTTGTAGTTTTTGTTGGTGTTCTTTGTCAAAGTCTTCTAAACTTTTCAGTTTCAAATCACTCATTCCACAGACAGGATCACACTTCAGAGCAGTTTTCTCATTGACGTCAGCAACGGTATTTCTATCATCCTTATAAACTCTTTCTTCCCTATCAGCGCCACCTAAGATATTTCTAGCTAGTGCTACAGTATTAATTTTATCATCAACATTCTCTTCAGCAGGATTAGAAGTGTTATCACTGCTAATAGAAATAGTAGTATTAGTATGAATAGCAATAGCAGTAGTAGTAGGTTCAACTTTTTTGTTGCTAGTTTTTAAACTTTCACATTCCTCATCAACTACTCCGTTTCCACGTATTTCCCTTTCAATTCCATACTCATCATCATCGTTATTAATGCTACCATTGTTGGTTCTTTCATTAGAATTCGGATTAGCCACCGCTTCATCATTTTTATCACCACCATCATTTACATCCTTGCCAACAACAACATCCTTGCCAACAACAACATCCTTGCCAACAACAACATCGTTGTCGTCATCGACTTTCGACGAAGCCTCATCATCATCATCACCATCATCATTAACTACATCTGATGATGATAAACGAAGTTCTTTTTGTTTTTCATCATCATCATTACCATCATCATCATTACCATCCTGGTTTTCATTCTTACTACTATCATCATCATCACACTCAATGCTAGCAGAAACATTATTAGCATTATTAATGTCATTTAAGCTCTTTGTAACATTACTGTTGATTATGTTGTTGCTACTGCTGCTGCTGCCAACAATGTTCAACTTTCTACCAATGAACCTTCTTCTTTGTATAGATGACGACAACGAAAGAACATCTTTGCAACCGACAGTAGTACTACAACTATCAGCACTCCTACTGATGCTAATGTTACTACCAACATCTTTGTCACTGGGACTAATACCTAGCATTTTAATCTTGTGCTTTGAAAATAAGCTATCACTATTGACGTCATCAATGGATGACAACAGCACCTTTGATGGTGTGATGCTGCTGCTGACGTTGTTGTTGACGTCATCATCAGAGTTCCAGCTTAACGAATCACATGTAGAATGCCTTTTTTGGCATAATCTGTGGACAACATTTGATTCTGCTGCTGCTGTGCTGACAGTTAGTTTGTTGTTGATGCCACTATCAACATTGTTGATGTTTTGCAGTACTTGATATTTCGTTGATTTGATGGTTATAATGCTGTTGGATGTAGTAGTGGAAGGAGGCGATGACGTTGTTGATGTCAGTGGTGTTGATGTTGGGATAGAAAGAGTTGCAGTAGTTGTAGCAACGGCGGTGTCGTTAGTAGCAGAAATATCAGTAGCTGCATCAGTTACTTTGCTTTCTATTGTAGTGATATCATTGACATTAGTAACAGAGGGGATGGGAGTAGTTGTGGTTAATTCATCTGATGGTGTACGGATTGATTCTAATGACAACTGTGAAACTGAGCTGACTGAAGTTGTGGCGGCTGTCGCTAGAGGTGTGGCAGCTGCTGTTGAAGTTGTTTTTGTAATCTCAGCAGCAGTTGCACAGCCGCCAAGAAAATTGTTCACATTACTTTCTCTATCAACACAGCTGTTAATTTTTTCTTCGACATTATCAACTAGATCATTATCTACATTGTCCTCACCATCCTTTATAATATCTGTAGAGATAGAAACAGCACCCGTAAAAGAAATAGTAGTAGGAAAGTTAGCAGTAGTAGTAGCAGTAGTAACGATATTTCTACTAAAAGAAGCGGTAGAAGAACTTGTATTCCCTCCAGATGTACTAATTTCATACTTATCGTCTTCCTCATCGTCATTAGAATCCACATCATAATCAACAAGTTGGCAGACCTGTTTTATATTTGTAGACGGCTTTTCATTACCCCCATCCAGTTTATCATCAGCATTGTCATCACTAACGTCATCATCTAACTCTCGCTTGCTACCACCATCATCATTTTCAACATTATCAGAGATTTTGGCAGATTGTGATGACGATGATGTTGCAGTAGCAACTGCAGGCAAGACATCGCATGACAAAGATGATGAAGAAGTTGTCAGTGTTACTGGTTCTAAAGATGTTAACACCCTCAGCTTCTTAACAATTAAGGTTGTAGCAGTAGACGAAGTTTTTGCACTTTCTTCTTCCTTCTTGATTCCAGCACTATCCCCAACATCTTCATCTCCATCGTCGTCCCCATCACTCCTCTCATCATTTATGATATCATTTTCAACTTTTTCAGCACCATCACCTTTATAAATCAGATCCAATTGAGACTTTGTGACGTCGCAAAAGTTTCCATCCGCCACACTAGCGCCATCTTTACGATTTTTCATCTCTTCATCATCGTTACTATCGTGATTACTACTATCATTAATGTTTACACAGTTACGTTTATCATCATCATCATCATCATCATTATTATTATTATTATCATCATCTTTATCATTCTTCTTTTCATCATCTTCGTTTTTAACATCACTACTCTCTCTCGATTGAGTAGAAGTTGCTGCACTCCCACTGCCTAAACTAGCCAAACATTCTTTGTTAGTTGTACAACTGGTGGTTTTATTATCATCCCCACTGTGATTTTTATAACCATCATTGTCGTAATCATTGTTTTCAATGTTATCGTCATTCTTATCGGTAGCAATAACAGCACTGCCATCATCAGAGTTAATATCATTGATGGTATTTTTAGCATCATCATTATCCACTTCAACACCATCATCAGATTTAGAAACTGCAGCAGTCGCCGTGCATTTAATGCTATCAACCACAACGGCATCCTTAGTAGTGACAGCATCCAAATTTTTAGTAGCAGCAACGTTATCATTGTTATTATTAAAACCACACTTCTCAACAACATCAACATCCCCTTTCTCGTTTTGGTAATCAGGAGCAGCAGCGGCAGCAGCAGCAGTAGCAGTAGCAGCAGACAGAGTAGTGGCAACAGTGGAAGCAGGAGAAATGGTGATAGGAACAGTTTTTAAAGCATTCCCACCAACATTTGACCCACCAAAGCTGTAAGGGGCCCAACTTTCTCTCATTCTGTTCCTCCTGTTTCTATTTATGAGGGCCTTGTTTCTGAGTCTTTTTGTTGGAGGCGCATCTTCAGGGGCAGAGGAGTGGCCCCCACCACCTCCATTTGTGGATACGGACTCGTCACTGGAACTTGAGTCAATGCCACTACTACTGCAACTAATTAGGTCAAGGTCATCCAACGTGGTTCGGGGTTTCTGAGGTCGTTTGAATTTGGGCGCTGCTGTTTGAACTTTTCGCTTGTTGCAGGATGTTTTTGTCGGTGTTTGATGCTGTTGTTGTTGTTGGTGATTTGTGGACAATGACGAGATTGAAGAAGTTGTTGAATTGTTGTTTGTTCGTAAGAGTGGTGATGCTAGATGATAATGTGGTTGTTTTCTTACAGCACCACTTGTCAATTTGTTTCTGTTATTGCCATCATTATCATCATCATCGTTGTCTGATAGTTGTTGTGGGAAGTCTCTCTTGCGTTTGATTGACAGTATGGTTCGTTGAGTTGTTGATGGCGACATTGTTTTATCATGTTGCTGTTGTCCAGAGGCTGCAGACTGAATTGTTATTTGTTGCTGACCATGTTTTGGTCCTTGGGTCACTGCTGTTGCTGGTCCACCAGAGTTTGAATGTGTTGAACATTCAGTGACATCTGGTCCAATGCTTTCACGCATATCATCATCCTCATCATCATTAACATCCTCTAAAATCTTACTATCATCCACTCTGTTATTAATGTCATTTATAACAACGTCTGCTTCGGCATCATTGTTAGCAGCATCATTTAATTCTTTCTCAATGTCAGCTCTCTTCTTATCCCAAATAACTTTTTTAATGGCTTCCTCCTCATCACCATCAGCATCATCTGCAGCATAATCTTCATTATCACCCTCATCACAGTTGACGTCATCCTCATCAGTTTCTCTCTTCATTGGTTTGAGTGATGATAATGATATGCTAGCACCATCACCATCATCATCGGCATCATCATCATCCTTGTTGTTATTACATATTTCATTTTGCACCACTTCATCATCATCATCTTCGTCGTCGCCACTATTCATTTCATTTTTAATTATAAATTCCAGGTCTGGCTTAGATTTACAATCTAAAAATAATTGAGTGATAATAAATGATGATAGGAACATACTCAGCCTATGTATATGCATTAAACCACATAAAAGTACACACATAAATACAAACAACAGTAACTAATACACAGAGCCAACCTTTTTTAATGGACACATCAGATGACTGCAATGATTTAATGAGATCTAACAAGTCTTCTCTGCTCCTATATAATTCAAGTTTGTGTAATAAACTCTTTCATTAATTAACTCATTCACTCACTCTGTAATTCACACATTTATTTATTTATTCATTCAGTCCTTCGAACTTCTCAGGAATGAAAAAAGAAAAACAAACATACTTGGCAACTACTAGCCATCTTTTCCTCTTTTTGTCAACAGCAAAACTGCCACCATTATCATCATTATTTGTGGTATTATTATTATCATTAATCCTATCTTTATCATTGTTGTTATCATCGTCATCGTCGTCGTCGTCGTCCTCATCATTTTCATCATCATCAGATGCTGCCTTACAGAATACTCTTAAATTCATGTCTTTATCCTGGATTCAAATTATTATTTTTATTTTCACTATTATCAACAAATACGAACAACTGACCATAAATGACCAGTATTTCCTGCCATAAATATCTCTTCCTATTGGCTGAACTCTCAGCAAATCAGGTGGCATTCCATCTAATTTGTCCTTGAACTTCATATTTGTATCAAACTGCTGCTCCATCAAGGCCTTCATGATGATGAAATTGATTCAGATAATCAGTTAATGAACCAATCAATCAGTCAATCAATAAATCAACCAATAAATCAAGCAAATTTATAATAATATATAACACAAAAGTTATCCAATGTATGTACAGTACATGCATATCAAACCTTCATGAGCCTAAGCTTCAGATTGATATCACATTTCTCAAATCCCAACTTCTCTAATTGAGAAGCATCTTCTAACGAATATGTCTGACAGAACTTGGGGTAGAAAAAAATATAAAACATAGTATGATTGTAAGATTGATTAACTTAAAATATTGAACATACTTTTACTAAATATCTGCTAAATCTTTCATCATTGACTGAGGACTTCCACCTTTTCAGAAGGCCCATCAACAGGTCCTTCATTGTGTGACACACTGGTTAATTTAATATACAGTACATTAAAATGAAATAGAATAAATTAGTAGAGCATTAATGATTTTATTGTAAAAAAAAACAGGGACATTGATTATTAAATTAAATTTTAAGATAATTAAGTAAGGTTATTAAATTTTTGAACTGAAAAAATAACACAAATCAGGCAGTCCATTTTACTAAAACTTACATTACACATTTTACACATGTGCGTAAATTACACATACTTGCAATGACATGACATGACATGACATAAAATACCTTCCATTACTAATTACTTACTAATTACTTTAAAGTTTAATTATGATCATTGACTTAAAATTATTATTAAAAGATACAAATTAATATTAAATAATCAATTTATATTAGTTGTTAAGCCATTTTGCTGGAGAACCCGCATACCCATATGTTAATCACTAACTTACTAATTAAATAAAAAAAATTATTAAAACCAAAAAATAAGTAAAACTACTAAACTAAACTAAAAGTAATAATAGAACACTCAGCTAATAAAAAATAAACAAGAGCTTACTCGGACGCTGCTCCGTTATCCATTTTTCTAAATTGTCAAAAGAAATTTCTGGCAAACTCAACAAACTTTCGTATTTTTCTAAAAACGAACAAACGACAGCAAAATTAGGATTTCGGTGAAGATTATCGAATTTTTCTGATTGTTTATTATCGGCCATAATTGTTTTATTTTTCGTTTTCCAAAGAAACTAAATACACATACAAACAATTTTAAACCAAACAGTATCATTAAGAGTGGGTAGGTATGATCAAAGAGCCTCGAAAATTGAAGCAATCTCAACTTCCATATATTTAAATACACCATCACCTTGTCCCACCAGATATATATACATATATAAATATACGTGTAATCATTTTTCGCATAAATTCAAAATTCGTCATTGGTACTGACAATATTCTACAAAGTAACCAACAGTAAAAAATTCTCTAACATTTTTTAAAATACAAACAAACGAAGATTTTAAAATGATCAGTAAAGAAGGATTCATTTCAAATACATAAACCAAAACTGTTTGAAATAGTTTGAAAGTTAAAGTCAATAAAATGAGCTATTATCATCCTTCCATTGCACTTTCATCAACATCAGCAGCTCCGCCTTCTTCTTCATCGGCATTCGCGAATTGGTCTGGGTCCCCTTCGCCATTTTCATCCTCGACATCATCATTTCCTAATTTGATGAACGTCACAAATCATACTACTTCAAAAAATGGCACCAATGAAATAAGCAACCATGTGCAAAACACTATCATAACTTTTAAAATAAAGAATTGAATTAAAAATTAACGAGAAAGTTTGATATTGTTTCTGACCCTGATTACTAACCATTTGCATTCTCAACACCATCACCTTGCCCCATCTCTTCAACTGGCTCAAAGTTATCATCTGCCAAAGTGGTCACATGAATTTTTTTTAAATTTAATAATATAATTTTAAATGTATAAATAAATGATATAAACTAATGATAATTCATTAATTTTTTCATTATTATCAACAAATGAAGCACCTTCAGATAGATCTGCATCTTCAGCACAAGGATTCAAACAACTACCTTTGTTAATAGCTTCATATATCGCATTTACTGTCGAGACGGGAAAAATTAATTGAAATAATTTTATAAACTCAATCAAAAGTTTTGAAAACAAAACATTCAGAGATAAAAAAAAGTAAAAAGAAAAAACAATAAACTCACAGGAGTTAACGTCACTCGGCACGAATCTCAGATCAATGATCCTGTCTTCATGATCATCATCTTCCTCATCCTCATCATCTTTTTCTACATCATGACCATTTGCCTCTAAGTTGCAATTTTTATTTCTAGCTTTATCATATTCTGCAACGTTGAACAAGAAAGGAATTAATAAAGAAAAGTTCTAACAACTTATGATGTATAAAAAATGTTCTACAAAATTAAACCTTATATGACGAATGTAGATTATCACAATAAATATATGAGCCATAAAACTGAACTGACCACAGGATAACTCGCTGACCATCATATAGATACATGGGTGGGGAAAATAATTGATGGCCTTTGATATTGCATGTACTGAAATTGAATCGTAATTCACTGCAAATCCCTTCTGCTCATCATTCATCCATAAAACATTACTGTATTAGTATTATATGAATAAAAGTGTATAATATATAAATATATGCAGTATATATGCATATATATATATATATTATACACTTTTATATACCATGTTCATGTGCAATGTTTTATTATGTTAAGGTTAACAAAGTTGTGTTCTGTATTCCACTAATGCAATAAAATAACACTGACATACATGATTTATCTTTCTTGAAAAACATTAAATTTTTTGATAAAATTTTTTTACACTGATTTCAAAACCTAACCCTCACCCTGTTCATGACTGTTTTAAACAAATATGGAGTCAAAGCTTTAAGGCCAGGGTCAAGATTATTAAAACAATGCAATTTACTAGTTCCTGGGGTAAAAATTTGCAACTGGATATTTACCAAACAGAAAGTAAAAAAAATTTTTTGTATGTCAGTGTTATTTATAAAATAATTCAAAAATCCAAAAGATCCTCTATCCAGAGCTCTCAAATTTTAATTCAGTGCCTGATGTATGAAATGAAATGGAACTAGGATGAAAGTGAAAAGTTTCTGAGACTGGGAGTATTCAACACATAAATACAATACAAATGATAAATTTATCTATTTTTAATATTAGTTTATTAATAATTAAATTAATTAATTAATCAAATCAAATGAAAATCTATCAATGAAAATGCTGAAAATGAAACCTTGAGGTAACATAAAGAGTGCCAGATGATATGATGTCACTATCTACGTAACACGATGTCTTCGCCTGACAATGTAAAACACTTTCTTCCAAGGGAACACCAACACTATGCAACTTGACCGCCATTATACTAATTAGGTTTCACAATCGTTTGCACGTCGCTTTTACAAAATTTAAAAGTGAGTGAGATGATAACAAGAGATGCACTAAAATCCTCGGTAAAAAAAACGTTTACTATCATACGTACATCGATGATGATGATTGTGACCTAATTAATTATAAAACATCAAATAAATTGGATGGGTAATTCGTTGCGAAATTGTTGGAGGAAAGGACGTCATGTTAACAGTAGTTATTTTACTGCATGGTAGTTAATCAATCGGTATGAAGGTTATATTCAATTCCTAACAAATACATTTGACCAAATATCATACGCAGGTAGAACTAAATAAAGAAATAGATATATATACGTAGTTATAATACATTTATAATGTTGTCTTTACACATTCAAATTGTACAATTGTGTTATGGTGTAGTCTCAAATTATTTTGAATTCTCTCAGAAAAATTTTAACTTTTTACTATTACTAGTTAATTTTATAAACAATTTTTAAAAAATTTCAATTTAATTTCATCGCGATATCGATGATGATTTTTGTGACCTGACTGATTAAAAAGCATTAAAGAAAATTTTTAAAATAGGATGGAGAATTTGTTATATGGGGATATTCGTATATAAAGCGAGCAAAAATTTAATATAAAATTGCTTATAAATCTACACATATTGGCTCAGCTTGGCTTGGCTTGGTTAGGCTTGGCTTGGCTTGGCTCGACTTGGAATTAGATGTTAAGCAAGGTGTGGTCTCAAACTATTTTGAATTCTCTCCGAAGTAACTAGAATCCATGTATACAAATAATTAATAAGATTATATGTTTATATAAAAAAGCAATATAGTAGATTCAACCAGCCAATCAGAAAGTTTCGAAGGCGTTCGTTCGATGACGTCAATTTAGTAAGGTTGGCATTGTGGTTAAGACTGTATGATATTGTAGTACATACATTAAATAAGTTTTTTGCTGATGTGAATGATTGAAATGATGAAAATGTATGGTTGAAACGAGTATAAATAGGAGCTGAGACAACATGAAAATCAGATCAGGCATTCTGCCTCGCTTGAAGCAGTCTGTCTGATCTCATTTATTTTATTTTTATATTTATTTATTTATTTTATTATATAGAGTTATATAGAGTTTCGCGGCTATATAGAGTTATATAGAGTTTCGCGGCTATATAGAGTTATATAGAGTTTCGCGGCTATATAGAGTTATATAGAGTTGCGCGGCTATATAGAGTAATATAGAGTTATGTTTGTATGTTTGTCTGATTTGTGTGTTTGTCTGTGGTTTGCATTTTATATTTTTTTAGGTGGGTTCTTTAGCGGTTGCTCATACATACATACATACATACATCGTGTTTGTTTGTGTGGTAGTATTTTATGTTCTGTTTTATTCTTTTTTCTCTTTCTTCATGAGTCTTGAGTTAAGTTAATGAAACATAGGTAGGTGAGATTAAAAATTAATTTATTACATAGGTAGGCTAGGGCATAAGGTAATTTAGTTGCATAGGTAGGTTAGGGACTTCTATTCTTTTACTCTATTTGGTGGTGTGTTTTTTGTTTTGTGTTTATTTTTGTTTTGTCTCACATTATACATAACAGGTACGCGGTGGTTCCTGGTTTAAGTGGGATTTTTATTGATTGAATGTGGTAGTATGCATGGTTATATAGAGTTGTATAGAGTTATATAGAGTTTTGCGGCTATATAGAGTTATATAGGGTTATATAGAGTTTCGCGGCTATATAGAGTTATATAGAGTTGCGCGGCTATATAGAGTTATATAGAGTTGCGCGGCTATATAGAGTTATATAGAGTTGCGCGGCTATATAGAGTTATATAGAGTTTCGCGGCTATATAGAGTTATATAGAGTTTCGCGGCTATATAGAGATGCGCGGCTATATAGAGTTATGTTTGTATGTGGTTTTGTATGTTTGTCTGATTTGTGTGTTTGTCTGTGGTTTGTATTTTATAATTTTTTAGGTGGGTTCTTTAGCGGTTGCTCATACATACATACATACATACATACATACATACATACATACATCGTGTTTGTTTGTGTGGTAGTATTTTATGTTCTGTTTTATTCTTTTTTCTCTTTCTTCATGAGTCTTGAGTTAAGTTAATGAAACATAGGTAGGTGAGATTAAAAATTAATTTATTACATAGGTAGGCTAGGGCATAAGGTAATTTAGTTGCATAGGTAGGTTAGGGACTTCTATTCTTTTACTCTATTTGGTGGTGTATTTTTTGTTTTGTTTTTGCTTTGTTTAACACCATACATTACATTCAACAGGTACGCGGTGGTTCCTGGTTTTAGTGGGATTTTATTTATTGATTGTTGAATATATTTTTATTCATACAGGTCTTAATCTCTACGACTTGGTTTTTTTTTTCTATTTTACCATTTTTATTTTTATTTATTTAAGATGCGTCATTTAGCACACCTACTCAAACACACACATTACATTAGGTAGCTATATAGGTAGGTTAGATAGGTATAATTTTAATTTTAGGTAGGATAGATAGGAAGAATCCAACACTAATGTAGTTGAATAGGTAGGCGCGTAAGTTTATCGCTTCTACTTTTTCTTGCACCCACATTACACGCATCAGCGTTATTACACACACACACACAAATACATACACAAACACATATGTTAGTATTTGAGAGTAATTTTATTTTCATTACACATTCTAATTTATTATTACTAAGGTTGAGAGTAATTTAATTTCATAGGTAGTTAAGGGCAATAATGTGATTCTAGGAACAATCTTGTAATGTAAATTAAAACGCTGTAAGTGTATCGATAGGTAGGCTAATTATAAGTATTACATTATTATTACTAGGTTGGAGCCCAAGGCATTATGTAGGTGGTGGGGTGGGGCCGATTGGCGAATGAATTGGGCTCTTGAGTTTTGTAATTTTAGGTAAGCTAGGACTGTAATGTATGAATAGGTAGGTTAAGGCTACGTTGTAACACACACTCATTAATAGATTTAGGGTTTAAGTTTTACATTATTATTACTAGGTTGGAGCCCAAGGCATTATGTAGGTGGTGGGGTGGGGCCGATTGGCGAATGAATTGGGCTCTTGAGTTTTGTAATTTTAGGTAAGCTAGGGCTTAATTGTAATGAATAGGTAAATTGAGGCTTAGACGTTATTAGCTAAGGCACCTGAATAGGTAGATAGGATTATTTATATAACTAATTTGAGACGCGAGCACTTATTATTAACCCCCTCATGAACGGCTGCCTTGACGTGGCGAGGGGGCTTCTCACTAAATGCCGTTCGTGAGATGCGCTTTTTCATTTTCAGATTTTTTAGTTATTTTATTAAAAAAGTTCTATAATAAATTCAAACGTACACACATACACGAAATACAAGCACATACGTACATAGGTTAAAACAGTAATTTATGAAATCTACCGAGTTTCTAGCGTTGGATAGAAATATTTAAAAATGTAATAAAAAACTATCCAACGCTAGAAATTTGGTAGATTTGATAGATTACTGCATTAATTATGGTCTTTTACCAAGCACATAAGTTAAAAACATACGTGCAAACGTACAAACACACATACGCAGATACACATATACATGCATGCGTTTGCTGTTATATGTATTGTTGTAATTTGTCTATTCTTCTTAACTTTTCTTACTTTGTTAACATAAAATCACAAATATAAATTGTAAAATGAGCTGAGTTAAACAATACGTAAGCTAAGTTAGTTGAACGTAGGTAGGTGAGTTCTGAGTTAAGAGAACAGAGGCAAGCCATGGCTGGAATTAAAGTTTATAAGAAATATAATGACGATAGGTAGGTAACTTTGTATTTGTATCATCTGCTTTTCATGTTAAGAGACTGTTTTTGTTTTGTGCGCACACACAAGCAGTACGCATACAATACAAAAACAAACATGATACAAACGTGATACAAACATGATACAAACGTAATACATACAATAAAGACTATTCGATACGTCTCAGATGTTGGTCGGTGCAATGGAGGTTCGTCCCTAGAGAGTGAAGAAGTTTCTGGAGAGTACACTCGCGCGCACATTCACACACACACATCAATACAACACACACATACACAACATCCATTCATTCGGTGTCGTCGTTGTTATGTTTCTCTTCAACTTTCTAATTTCTTTACCGGACTTATTTCGTTTATTTAATTTATTTATTTAATTCGTAGGTAAGTTAGGGATTGAGATGAGTTGAACAATCATAGGTAGGCTAGGGCTTAACGTTAGCTAAAAAGTTTCAAGTAAAATAAAAACGCTAAAATATGTTAAATTAAAAACCGGAAACACGTAACATTCCTAAATCAGAAAGTTTCGAAGGCTTCCGTTCGATCAATTTAGTACGGTTAGCATTGTGGTTAAGACTGTATAATAGTGTAGTGTAGTACATACTACAAACTATATTTTATTCTCGTCGTCGCCTTAAATTTTACCTTTTTCAACAATCTTTTTAATAATGTCTATTTATTTATTAAATGTTGACTGGTTTATAGTTTTTTTTTAATTTGGTTATATAATTTTTTGATATTTCTTGATTTACTTGTTATATATGCATGTATAAATAATTTCTGTTTGGTATGTTGATTTATGTCATTATGATATGCTGTGAACTTTTCTTACTAAATGTTGTTACGTGAATCATTCTCTGAGAACTACTAAGGAGTGTGTAAAATGATAATAATGAATAATAATTATTTTTAATCAGTCGATATTTTGTTATATTTGTTTGTTTAAAATACGAATTTTTAAAAAAATTGACATTTTAAAAATTTTAATTAACCGTCACCTTTCATTTTTGAATGGATTCAAATAAAAGCAACTATTGTGTTTTTCTTTCTTTACTAAAATCTTGAAATTGTTTGCAGATCTGTTCGGTTAAGTGTTTGTTCGAGTTTGAACAAGCCTTGCAAATATTTTTTTTATTTATTTTTGTTTTTTTTTCTTTCTTTTATTTGGTTCATTCAATTTGATCGATTGATTAGTTGATTGAATGAATGGTTGGTTGATTGATTGAGTGATTGGTTGGATGGTTGATTGATTGATTGTATGTATGTAGAATGGATGTAGAGGAATTTAAAAAATCACATGAACCACATATACAGGTCAACTACAACATCAACGAAAGTGCGTTATCACCATATATATACATATATTATATGTATCCATGGTTATCACTCAAATAATTTACTGATAAAATTAGAACCAATAATAAAATTATTGGAAACAAATAAACAGTTCAATATTTAATTATTAAAAACAAATGAAAAATTGAACTCGCGGCCGCAAACCATCACCTAAACAAACAAACAAACAAACAAGACTAAAAAATAAATATACAGCCCAACACGCAAATATGTCACAGTCTTTCATAAGGGAAAATGTGTAAACTACGTCTAAAATTACAACAATCACGTTGGCGTGTCTTGTGAAGGCCGAAGCGTACAAAACAACCAACAAAAATATTAACAACATTAATAACTTGTTAATTAATAATAACTTGATAATTAACGTTGTTAATTCATATCAACGGAGTATTTCATGGATAGTATCAACTAACTAATTATATAATTAATTATCATATCATTATATTATAATTAGACTTTATAGATTAAAATTAATAATCACACTGAAAATATAATAAAAACTTTTATAATCTAATCAAACGGTCAGAGAACATGTCAAGTAATCTTAAGTACGTAAGCCTTGAGTTCGTTGGGTGGTATATCAGCCAGTGTGCTGTTGTCGTCGTTTCCCGCCCGCCTATTGCTAGGATTAGTGATGCGTGAAGATGGTAATGGGAGGAGGTTCAATTTTGTAGCGTGCACCGATTTTATGGGAATACTGGCGAAGATGCTCTTGATGACTTGCTGCTATTGGTGTTCAATCATTGAGTTGTATGACATTTAAATGAAATGATGTGATGATGGTGAAAGTGAAACAAAACAACCAAAATTATGTACAAACCTGCATTCTTTTATTATTATTCTCATAAGAGCAAACCACCCCATCGACACCATCGTAACCACACTGCAAGGCGAGGCGATGAAAAATGAGCGCTATATCATGAACGATCTCACTCCCAGTCAACTTTAAGGTCTTATAAGGAAGTGACCTCAAATTTACGAGGTGCACGTGACATGGTAAGGGGTAATAAAGTGGCGAGTAAAATTTCGACAAATTTGATGATGCTACTGATGTAACAGCGTCCTTATATATGGATACAGGTAGGTGATGGATGGGATATAACAAATCCAGAGATGCGAAATGGGATTTCGGAGTGAAAAATCCCATTTGAGAATCTGAATTAAACGTTGGTGGAGGATTTTGAGGCTTTTCTATAACAATCTTGAATTTATTTGGAGTCTTTTTGTTGTCGTGGAGTGGTTGTTCGGCCCCTCGGTTGTCATCCTGGTCCAGCCTTCGATCCAGCATCACTTCTAACCTGCCTAATTGTGGAAGTTACAGCCACAGTAAATGAACGAACGAACGAATAAATGAACGAACGAATGAATGGATAACTGAATCATTCAATAATACAACCAATCAAACAAACAACTGACCAACCATTTAATCAACTACCCAATCAAACTAGCCAACCAAACTACCCTAACTAACCAGTCTGGTTAGTTGATTGGCTGGGTAGTTCAATCAATCAACCACCCAACCAACCAGCAAACCAATCAACCAGCCAATTAAAACCGACCAGTTTTTAAACTAGCGACACCAAGCGATTGAGCAGTCAGTAAACTGAAACGTTGGGAGTCATCTTGCAGGTAGGCCATTGAAGGCATTGGGTAGAAGTTTGCCTGTATGGGCAGTTTGGGGAGGTACTTGCGTTTTATCACCTGTGCAAAATTATTAAAAATATATATATTACAGATAATTATGATAATAATTATTATTATCATAAACAATTACAGAAAATATAAAAATATAAAACAAAAATAAGTATAAACAGAAGAGGCAATATCTAACCTGAAAGCCATTAAGATCTGTATAGAACGTTCCATCATTATTTTTTACCTGGATGTATGTACGTATTTACGTGCATGTATGCATGTATGTATGTATGTGGAGTTTGTATATATGTGTGTACGTATGTATCTATAAATGTGTGTGTATGTTTTGTAGTTTGCATGTGTGCTATTTTAAAACACAAAATATACAAACAAACATACATACACACATACATACAAACAAACTAACAAACAAACGAACATACATCAGTTTGCATCCTCATGGCAATCTCTGTATTGCCTTCACCTCTAACATCTACAATGTTCATTATGTCAAAACCTGCACCAGGCAAACCACCTAACAATGGTGACAATAATAATTATTATAGTGGTAACAAAAAATTATAAATAAATTATAAGCTAACTTTGAATTGAAGAGCATCTAATATGATGAGTGACCAATGGAAAAATAGACATTGCCTCTGAGTAGAGCCATCCTCTTGTTATTGTCAGTGTAGGATATGTTGTGTACAAATACTGCATGTATGTATGTGTGTGTGTACGTATGTGTGTACGTATGTATGTGTGTGTATACAACATCATCGCCATCATCATCAACAACTTAATCACCATCATTATCATAACCAACTTCAGCTTCGGTTCCAGGTATAAATAAATATAGGCCACTTTTCTCTTTTGCATGGGTCGTCCCATACTTAACGAATGATAGCTCCATTCTTTCATCGTTCGTCGATCCATCCATCCATTTTATGCTCTGAAATAATAATAATAACAATAATAAAAAATGGAAAGGTTCGTATGACATTCTTCATTTTGAAACGCTGAACAACGCCAATTTAATCGATCTTTTAAAATATTGCCACCTTAGCAAGGCCAGACTCGGCAGATATACGGAGTTGAAGCTGTTCATTGCTTATGAATGGTCCAGCTGCATCGTTGTGTGTTATCTCAAATGGGTTTGGGCTGCTGAATGAATGAATGAATGAATCAATCAATAAATGCGTAAACGAATAAACGGACGAATAAATGAATAGTTGAACCAATCCATCCAAGTCAACAAACAGCAACAAGACATCAACAGATGATTAAATAACCGAATGAATGAACAAATGAAAACATCAATTCATTCATTCATCAATCAACAAACAAACAACTTACCTAGCGTCATCATCGTAACTAATCTTCTTATTATTGAATACATGTACACTAGCAAACTCAACCATTTTTTTATCAGCTGTTTCCTCTTCTAAATAGAAACTGGAAAATCCAAGAGCCAGAGTCTCCACCATGAAGCTTAACTGGCAGAAAAAAAATCAAAAATTTTAAAAAATTGTATACATACTCAATCAACCATTCACCGAACCAACCAAAAATTCGTGATTGGATATTTTGAGGTTCTCTCCATCTGTATTTAGAATCTTTGGACTGATTTGACTTCTAACCCGACGACCCGCCTGATCGAAGACGGCTACGTAAGCCGTGGTCACGTGCAAGGTCACGATACTCTTACGTGATTGGCCGAGAGAGTTGAAAAAGTAAACAGTTCTAAATTTAGAAAAAAATTATGGAAATGAATTTACTAATGTTAAAATTCTAAACGTAGTAAAAAAGAGGCTAAAAAAAACTTAATTATCAACCAATAAACAACCAACCAATCATCAACCAACCTTTTTCCCATAGAAAGATCGATAACATTGGGTCTTGGTATGTCATGATGCTCCTGTCTTGTTTCGTCCTGGAGACCATTCAATCAATCAATCAACAAGCCAACCAACAAAACAATCAATCATTCAATCAATCAACCAAAACCGACCAACCAAGCAATCAATTAATCAAGAACCGACCAGCCAACTAACCAAATCAAAAATGAGACTATCGTGAAATTTAAAAGCACTTTTCATAGAAGAGAGTAAGAACTCTGATGAACGAATTATTACTTTCTTCAAGGAGTTTAGTGAATCAAGCAACCTAATGTGTGTGCATTTGTAAATGTGAGTGTACTCGTTCAGTCATTCAATCAATCAATCAACCAATTCATTCATTAATTCAATTCGTCCCTTCCTTCAATCAACCATTTAACGAATCGACCTCCGGCCGTAATCAACGACAACATGGTCCTTAGCCGTCCCCGTGATCCCATCGTGATGTTGAAACAATCCCAGATTTCTTCGAGATTTTATCAGGAGTTGGGATAAATCTGACTTCTCCAACACCGACGAATCGACGTGTTTGGCCTCCGACAGTGCTAAACTGAACAGGATCTCAGCTAACCTGTTCAGATTGTGAATTAGAGAATGCTGTGTGGTGCGAGTAGTAAGATATCAAAAAGATTAGATCGAGTTTGTCCGATGTAACACGGGCAGAATGTTGTCTAGAAATGTAAAAGCTTCTTAAACAGCTAAAAAACGATACAAAATGAAATTGCATAACACCGTAACGCAATTGGAATTCGACTCCGACCCACCTCTGATGATGTTCTACCTCCCTATCCAGCATCTTGTAGAAGGGTCTCGACGTGAAATAACCACTCCAATAATGATCATCGCGATCCGCGTAGACGAAAAAATCGCCGGAGAGAGACGGGAATGGAACATTTTGTGGCTGAGAATTGAAATTCCTATCGTTCATTGCCGACCGGGTTCTCAGGGCAGTGAAATAATCAGTGAGGGTAGCAAATTGGGCCTATGTTTGTGGCAGTGTGGAGTTATTTTATTGATTATGTAACAAAACTTTCTTTCATTCCAGTATATATGTGCATATATTTTTGCATAGTGCACTGATGGCTACTTAGTCGAAAAAGCTTAATGTATCTTCCTAATTATTATCAAACAACATAAATCCAAGGTCTTGTTTTTAAGGTCAACAAGCTTAATAAATATTTCAAAAAAATTATCCGTAACCTTGAAAAGATATCTTACGAGATTAGGAACGCAAGCAATGCGATGGAATTCATTAACAACTGCATCTCAAAAGGTCTTACTCCTAATTATATATTATTTATCAGTAAGCAACCATCAACATTCACACATTACACTCTCATGGAGGTAGACGCATACACCAACAAAACAATACACAGTCACAACACTCACATACACGCACACCTTAACATTCCAATCTTTTTTCTGATTCATATAATCAAATAGTTTCTCATAGTTTTTATATTGCAAATCCCACTCTTCAGCGGTATCGTATCTGAAGTCGTCACCGAGTGGAATGAGGACAACGTTGTTGTGCTGGCCGTCCACTTTTGAGTTGTACAAAAGAGATTTCTTTCTATATTGATCTAGTAAGGTACTGGCTCTGTGTGTGTGTGTGTAAGTGTGTGTGTTGTTTGTGCGGTTGAAGTATGCGTATAACTGCTGCGTGTGTACAGTTCTTGCGTACGTTCATTTGTTTTGAGCATACGCTCAGAGAAGAAAAACAACGGCAACCTTTCATGTACATTGACGTCATCAATTGGGGCAGGATTAATCCTCCACGGACACGAGTACCTCGAGCCGGACATTCGACGAAAGTCAAACTGGCAACAAATTTTAGGATCTGGGCCGCACGTGTGTGGAATGTCGTAACTGTAGAAGGGCATCATGTGGCAGAGGATGTCAGTGCTGCCTTTGCTGTCTGTTTGTTTGTTAATGTGAGTGTTTGTTGTGCGGTGGTAATCAATCAACTATTCAGCCAGCCAGCCAATCAAGCAACCATCCAAACCAACCCCATTGTTGTCTCCACATAAACTCTAGATCCTTCTTAATAGAGAATTCTTTTTTTATTGAATAGTGAGTCCTCTGAATCAGCATATTCTCAAACGACATAGATTTCAGTAAGTAAGCAAGCGTCGGGGAATATCCAAATGGATCGATTGCCCAACCAGTCACTGGCTGATAATCTTAAATTAACATCAATCAATCGGTTCGTATTTATATAGTTCAATTTCTGAGAACGTTATTACATTTTACTACAGGTGCGTATACACGCTCATCAACAAACCTGCCCACACAAACATTCACGAAAATTCAATTCAATGTTATTAAATATTACCGTTAATTATGTTTTTTATTTGACCTACGCTACATATTATCCAAGTCCAAAGGTATTTTAACGAAAAACGAAATAAAATTTTTAACAAGGGTTCATGGACAACAATCTAATTTTTAAAAACATCAACATAAAATAACATAACAACAATAATAAAAACTACAATAATAACAACAACAACAATTACAACAACAACAACAACAATAATAATGATAAAACTGTCGTCCAATCAAATTCAAATATTTAAGCCCCAATGACCTAATTCACTGCTCAGCCATTGGTTGCCTTCAATCAGCTGATCCAACATGGCAAAGTAGTGAGCGTTGGCCTCATCAGACATAACCCAGCCACCAGTCAATATCTCTAATCTTTTTTCATCTAATAATCTTTGGATAATAATATTATTTATAATATTGTTATTTATATCGTCAATTATAATTATTAATATTATATCCATCTTATCATAATCAGTACACTCACTTTTTGACAGTATCTCTCATATTTTGACTTGCATATTGCCACCATGTCGTGAAGAATGACATCTCAGCATATACAAACCTTTCATTTATGATAATGTAAACAAACACGCATATACAAACGGATACACGCATGCAAACACACACACACACACATACCTGTAAATATATATATATATATATACACACTCACATACATCCATGCAAAAAATCTAACCTCATTTTCGGATATTCTACAAGCTTCTCCACCATGAGATTCAATATATGAGATGTTTGGTCTTGATAGTATTGGTCAAACGTTTTAATCCACCCTGGTAGCATTTTTATTTGTTTGTTCTTTATTTGTTTGTTCGTTTGATTGTGTGTGTCTATGTATACATGTTTTTTATATGTAAGTGTGTATGTATATACGTATGTATGTATGTATTTATGTAATATGTATGTATGTGGGGTGTGTGTGTGTGTGTGTGTACAACAACAACAAACCAGGATCTGTATGCGAATGTGGAACGACAAACACCAACAATTTATTATCTTCACTCCATTGATTCTCATTATATGTTATGGGATACCCTTGCTTCCATACCCCACCATCTGGATTGTCAAATGCTACTCTATCCAGCACAGCTGACATCTTTGAAATAAGAAATTTGTGAAAAAGTTAACTTATATTAACAAGAAAACTTTATTTAAAAATAAGATATTTCAATTTTTGATGAAACAACATAAAGTAATTAGCTTATTATGTGGTTATTTGGTGATCTTAAAAGGTTTTGTCAACAAAATTTTATAACTAATGTTTATCTTGAATTTACAAAATGAAAATTGAAAATAAAAAGTCACACACTTGAATATCAGCATTACTGTTTGCAATATATCTGGTGCTCTGTGGACATGTAAGAACTGATAATGAAGATGACAATGAAATATTTTTTATAAACTTTATTGGATTTTTGGTGGCACGTTTAGCAACAAGATTAGGAATAAGTTTATCATCTTTAGATAATTTTTGATTAGAAACTTGAGCCAGCATATCCTTGAGGAGGTCAATTTTTTTTTCATTAGCATCAAGTTGATCTTTTAGTTTTAGAATGTTGTCTTTAAAGTGAAGTAACACTAATTTGTCATCGTCTGGCTGGTTAGGGATTGGAGTGATTAAAGAGTTTGTTAGATTTTTAAAATGGAAAAGGTTGAGTGATTTTTGATTTTGATTGATAAAGCTGAAAAGCATAACATGACAATACAACATAAATAAGTCATAAAGTCATAAAGAAAGAGCTAACTAAAAATAAATCTTTGCAAGTTGTTTAAAATTAAATAGAACAAGTTGAAAAATCTTAATTGTCTATTCCTTTTTTTCTCAAAATTAAACATGATTCAGTTAATCTGTTAATAGCTATTATATTTAGAAATTTAATAAATTTATTAATATATCTAAATGTGAAGTAATCAAATCAAGCACAGAATCACACACCTGTCTATCATCTCTGATATTTCCATCGTCAATATTATTCATCATAAACGACATTGAAAGGAACAAAACAACGCAAATTATTGCAATTAACAGTGTCAACGTTCTCTTTATTTTAAATTTCATCGTAACTTTCTTATTTTTTAATATTTTAAACGAATTTAATCATGACTCGTCCAACCACTTTTACTTTACCATATAAATAATGTGTGCCTTAAAATTGTAAGGATCTGAGAAGTTGGCCGAATGGCTTGTTGCACTTGAAAACACTTAAATGGGGAACTGGACTGATAAGAAGCAAACTCCTTCTCCTGATTAGGGAGTAAATAGAAATTATGAAAGAACTTTTCAACGAACAAAACTGACAAATAGACGAACTCTTCAGGAAAACTGATGATAAACACTGATTAAACATTAGAAAAAGGAGAGAACAGACAAACGGACGAACTTTTCTGCACCCACTGCCATCCATCTGGCAACGAAGGTTTTAGAAATCTTTGTAGCATCTTTTAATTTGGTCAGGAAAATTTGACGTTTTTCATATATAGTACCTTGAATCGACTGAACAGTTATCAATATGACAATACAAACTATGTATACTATAGTTCGATTTTCAAAAATGTGAGGCTGTTCAAGGCTGATATAGTGAACAAGGCTGGTAGTGGTAGATTCATGTACATTGTACACATACATACACAAACACGCACACGTGCATATATACATGTATATTTATTCAAATAAAAGATATATATTTAGTTTTACCAGTTTTTAGACAATATCTTCAATTAAACGGTGATAGTCGAATTTATTCGTTTTGAGTGAATCTTACCCGTATGTTCGCATATAAAATAGAGAATATGTCATTAATGACATTGCTTGTAAGATTTTTAATTGATAATATTGGTAGAAATGCGAAAACGTTTTAATTTTCTGATCAGCTGATAGAATTTAATTAATTGATCAGGTTAAGCACCTTGTTATTTAATTGAAAATCAAATTTAAGCGCGTTATTTAAATTTTATTATTTATTAAAGTTAATTAATTAAAAACATTTTCTAAACTTTTCAGCGGAAATTTCTAAATTTTATTTATTAATTTATTTAAAAACGAAAGGGTTATATCGTATCCTAAGCCTAACTAAGGCCTAACCTTATCACATCTTTTATTTATATTATACAACAACTTGTTCACGTGTCTGTTGTAATGTAATGTGTTTTCTGTTTCCAATTCTGTTGCAGGTACTGTCCTAGAATTGTGCCAACGAAAGTTTTTAATTAAATTTTTTAAATTTAAATAAATTGAAAAAATTGTGACAAAATGTTCTATGAATGAAGCAATCTAAACAGGTGAAGGTAAAATTTTCTAATTTTTTATTTTTATCCAATGAATCAATTATTAAAAATTTAAAATTGAACAATATTAATTTTATATTTATTTTTTTTATGTTATAATGTATAAGTTATTTTACTTTCCTCTTCTCCATCACCAACATCATCACTAACAAAATCATCATCATCATCATCATGACCAGTTTCCACATGGTATAATTGACGTGCAATGGTTATGTTATGGTATGAAACCTGAAAAGCAGCCGAATATGTAATGAAGCCACTGAAGAAATATCTTAACCTCTCTATGAATAGGGACTTCGGTGGGCTATTTATAATTTCATTTTAGATTTGCTTCACCCGTTGTTTTAGGTGTTTACGAATTTTTCGCGTTTTACGAAAAAGAAAGAAAAATGAAAGGGACTTTCAACTACGTGCCAATATGGGGTTAGTTTTACGACCTTGTTTTACGAGTATTTTGCGTTTCTGGGTTGTTTTTCGAGTTCTTTTACAGGTTGTTTCACGAAGAAGAAGAAAGAATGAAGGGGACTTTCGACTGTCTTACCGATACAAAGTTTTTCGTTTTTTACGAGTTGTTTTGCGCTTTTTTCGAGTTTTACGAGTGTTTCACGTTTTACGAATGATTTTGCATGGTTAAGAAACATGCTAGGAAAAAAGATAAAGCCCAGACTAGGAAACTTGTGAGAAACATCAAAAGTTTTAGAATCAAACTTAATACACATTCTAAAATTACTCAGTCAAATACTTTACTTTGCTTTTTTCTCGAAATTTAATTAAATTTATAAAGTTTAGAAAGATTCTTCTTTCTTTCTTTCTCTTGGATTTATCCTTTCAGGATATTGGCGATCATCGACCTCCACAAAACCCGATTTTAACACTTTGTAGTAGTTGAAATGTGGTGGTATTCGACAAGTGACACAGGCAGGCACAATAGCTCGATAATTTTTTGAATGTGGCGCCGATATATAGTAAATTAAGCTGGTAGTCATTCACCAGATTCATGTAGTACTCAATAACCTGAGCCAGAAAATGTAAAATTTGGTAATTGAATTCCCGACTTGTAACAAGTAAAATGTTCTTGATGTCTACGTTCGTTCATTCATTCATTCATTTACTCTCACTGTCCATCTTTCGATCTTTGATTTTTTTAAATCAATATCACAACTACTCATTCATTCATTCAATCATTTACTCACTCATTTTAGTGAAACATTAAGAAAGAACGCTATCTTGCAACTCTCACCGCCATCAACTTTTTGTCACATATTAAAAATCTCTCTCCACCCACAGTTCTGCGCTGCCATTAAAACGTTTCAAAAGAGTTTATACGCACACAGACATATATTGTAGGTATAAAAGCTTTTTGTATGCTTTATATGTAGCGCCGAAGCGTACGAGTTTGTTGGAGACGACGTTGTACAAACTCGATGTTTGTTGAAGTGAGCTCCGATGAAATGTTGAAATTTTTTACATCTATTGTAGTTGCCGTTAACAACCAACTTGCAACTAAACATGTTGCCAAAATTTGCAACAATCTTTGCAAAATTTCAAGCCAGGGTTTGCTCAAAAATTAAAGAAAAGATTTCTTGTACTTATTCAAAAGGCATTCAACGTAAACGGACGCGCACAAACACACGGAGATGAAAGCCAAAATAAACAAACTCACGCATTGGCAGAAACATTCAGACAGACAGACGGAAGGTCATGAATAAGGACGGAGTGTTATAATTTGATCGATAAATAATTCAACAGGTCACAAGAATTTTTTTGCCTGTTCCCCTGGTAAAGTTGCAGTTTTTGTTGATATTGTTGTTGATGTTGTTGTCAGTGACGTTTTTTACTTTATTTTTCACCTTAGACGTAAAGTACTGAGGTGCTTAGAAATTAATTAAACAGTTAACTTACCTATACAATTATAAATATGCAAGCATTCACGTGCGTATGCATGCACAGAAACATGCATTCACGAATGTATGTATGCATTGATGTACACACACGTATGTGCATGCACACGTGCATACATACATGTTGCATGCATGCATACATACATACATACATTCATGTATAAGTGCATGATTACGTGCATGCAAACGTGGTTCGTAGCCATATTTTGTCATCATTTTGTTGTTTGCGTTGTTGAACAAGAGTGATATGCAAGCATGTAGACGATTGGATTGTATCGTTAAACTGTGGGTTTATTATGATTATCAATATTATTAAATTTCCACAATTATTTTGCTCTGTTTGTTTTCTTACAACATTATATCTACATATTATGGTATTATAGACATTCCAGTTTATAAACTACAAAATTTTCAAATTATTAACTGTCACTTTGGCAAAGAAGCGGCTAAAAATGTTATGAGAACATCCTCGCCCTAATGATCTTCGCTGAAGTGCTCCAGCGACACTCATTCACACTCAAATGTTGGTACGTTGCCTTCCTTACCTTCAGATAATAATAATTTTTTTTTATTTCAATTTCTGGATGCAGTTAAGATGTGCAAATATCTCGTAGGTATATTGAAATTATCGCCATTTAGTTCTATCTATAGAAACATCTTCGTCACAATATTTAACTTTTTTTTGAGTTTGTTTACATTTTTGTTTGTTTATGTCTTATTATTGTGAAGTTATTGAATTATCGTGCAAAATATGAAAGCAAACGAGGAGCAGCAGTGGTTAAGGGTGCACATCTCCGCGGCTCTCAAGCACAAGCTCGTAATTCCATTGAATTAATGTTCAACAATGCAACATCAACAACATCTTCAAGAGCAACATTACGCCCAAATACATGCGCCATATAAGCAGCGATCGGCAGAGCTGGCCACAACAACATCAACAAACAACAAACTCACAACTTTGACCGGTTACAGTTTCGAGAGTGCGAACGGAACTGGAAGCACAACGGACGAGCAGGCTGATGTTTCCATGGAAACAAAAATGGAAGTGGAATCTGGAGAATTTTTACAACTGGATGAGAGACCATTCACCCTTTCTTACCAACAGCTGCCGCAGCATAATGAACAGCTACTATTTCATCAGCAACACCATCAACAACTGCATTTGCAAAGAAACGAACGATTCGATTGTATTGAATTAGCTGATGTGGATAATTTCCATGAATCCTCCAACCTACTGCATGCGTACAAACGCGTTCACTCATCTTGCTCACTGCAACGGCAACAACATCACCAACAACAAACTCAACAACAACACAAAACAGCTTTCGAAAAAACATACAACGTTATAAATTTATCAGCACCAATTATTAAAGTGCATAGTTTTCAGTACGCTGACAGTGATGAGAACCATTCTGAAAGTATTTTTAAACAACAACAACAACCTCTACATGACCGTCATCCACAACAAACACATATTTTTAACCAATCACGCTCTAACAACACACACGAGAAACAACAATATTCAACAGCTAATAATTACGCCGACTCACCAGCATCAACAACTCCAACAAGATTTCAACAACATCTGCTGCATCAACAACAACAAACACGCCATCATTCGTTCCAATCGAGCAGAGATCACATCCAGCACACGACAACAAAAAATTTCATCAACAGACGACCCTCTAACGTAACAACGATCGTTTCGACAACATCCTTTTTTAAATCAAACAACAACAACAACGGCAACATCAACGACATCTCAAACGAAGTAAACAAATCTTTGTCGTCGGAAGCGGAGACGAGCAACCTTCCCTACCCTGAGTACGTCGGGAGAGCCTTCTACTGTTGCAGCCAGACGACGTTCCCAAGAAATCTCTGCTTGAAACTTATCGTCTGGCCATATCTTTTTTATTGATCTATCGTTTGTTTTTGTCGTTGTTTTTTGTTGCTGTTGAGGTTGTTGTTGTAAATTTTATTTTCTTCGTGATTATTTATGCTTTCAGTAAGTCCACGATTCAATGCACATTGAAAAGCATACCGCGCTCATTGTATGATGTCTAAGCACACATTCACGCACATGCACACCTACAAATCACAGATGTCTCAACGCTAATTCTTTAGGTATGAGACATCTATGCACGAACAACCATGCACACAAGCAGAGGAACAAACATGTTTATATACATGGGAACAAGCAAGCATACAGCAGGCATACGCAAACTACAAACAAACTTCAAGTCATATTTCACGATCAACAGCAAGTATTTCAATTGAATGCACACACAACCAGCACAAAAGCACAAGAAGACAGCATCGCCATTGAATAAAGAAGTGAGACGCATTAGAAGGCATCTACTAAATAACGTTTAAGAACCTCTAGATAAATAAATATTTATTCATTCATTTATTAACTTGATTTTTGACTCTTTACATTTTTTACTGTTCATCATCATCAGCAGCAGCAGCACTACCATACACACTTAATGAAATAAAAATTTGTTGACAAAAGCAATTAATGAGTAGAAAAGGTTGTTGTTTTGTTTTTATTCACATCCAAACACATACACACGCGCACACTTACACACACACGCACACATACATATATGCCACCTTTTAATTTTTTTATTGCTTTGTCCGTCCTTGTCTAAGAAGTCCCGTCACTTTTAGTGATTCTTTGCACGTTCCATGCGACTACACTTAAGCACGATCGTAAGTTGTTGTCGTTGATGATATTGTGTTGTCGTCCTTGTTCTGTATAACACTACTGATGACGTTGCATTTAAAAGTCATGACGTCATACTGAATTGACGGTGTAAAGCTGGTTGAATTAACTTTTAATTAATTTCATTCGCTGATGGAAGCTCACTGTTGATTTGAAACTTTTCAATCTCGTTGTCTGTTTTCATTGAGTAGGCTAGAAGACATTCGGTTTGAACGGCAACAAAAAATTAAAAGAGTTCTCAAACTCAACTAGAATACCAGAAAATTTTTTCAAATTGAATTGTGACGATATGGAACAAATCGCCAACCCAAGTGACCGAAGCATTATTTTATAATAAGGTTGGATGTTTTCATGAAAGATTTTGACTTTTGCGTACTGTGCTGTATGATCCCAGGATATTGGCATATGTTGACTTTTAAGTTTGAGCCGATTATTTTTATTTTATGATTCAAAACTTAAAAATAAGAATTATAATGCGAACTAATTGCATGTAAAAAATCAGTGCAAATAGCAATTCCAACAAAACTGTCTTGTATGCATTGGTTTTACCACTGTCTTGTTTGTAGTGGAGTATTTTTATTAGTTCGTTGTGTGCATTTCTACTTAATTTACAGACACACACATACACAACATGCACACACATGCCACACGGACATATGTATCTACAAAAGTGTTGGTATCAGTTTTTGCACACCGGGCTGTCTGACGATGCGAATCAAAATTAAAATTCATGCACCGTCCCATTTCGGCTCATCGTTTATTTCAAACTTCGGTAATTTTATTTTAAATTATATTTTTCAAATTGACTTTAAAAGTTTCCGCCCTATCAAATAGATTTTTGTCATACTCATTCTACATTAAAATTAGTCTGCTGGTACGCGTATGTGCAAGCTAATTTATTTTTTCGCCATCTATTTTTCCTTATCTGTTAAATTATTTTTTGCCAACTTTTTACGGAAAATGTCAATTATGATTTTGATAACAACGTCAACAACAACATTGTTACTGCCAACGATCATTGCCAACAAACACATGGTTTGAGCGCATAAGCATGAGTGTCATCATCCTGAACTGCATTACGCTGGGACTCTACCAGCCGTGCTCAGACCCAAAATGCTTGACGATCAGGTGCAAAGTTCTTGAAGCTTTCGACCATGCAATTTTTGCTTTTTTCGCCCTTGAGATGATCATCAAGGTCGTTGCCATGGGGTTCGTCGGCAAAAAGACCTACCTGTCTGAGAACTGGAACAAGCTGGATATGTTCATTGTGCTGGCTGGGTGGGTAATTGCTGTTGTTTTGTTCAGTGCTGTTGTCTTGTTCAGTGTTGTTTTTTTGTTCAGTGCTGTTGTCTTGTTCAGTGCTGTTGTTTTGTTCAGTGCTGTTGTTTTGTTCAGTGCTGTTGTTTTGTTCAGTGCTGTTGTTTTGTTCAGTGCTGTTGCTTTGTTCAGTGCTGTTATTTTGTTCAGTGCTGTTGTTTTGTTCAGTGCTGTTGTTTTGTTCAGTTTTGTTGATTGTTACCGTTTGTGTCTAGTTTTCTGTGGTCGTTACTTAAGGTGGCCTCAAGTTCGATCGCGTTGAGCCAATTAATTTTGCTCTTCACTGGCTTCCGGCTTATCAAAAAGTTATTTTTAAAATATGTTTAACGGTTTGTAAATGTATTAAGGGAGTTTTCCCTATGGCAGAGTCATTCCTAGAACAACGCCACTGCTGAGTCAAACATTGCGCTCTGACAATTCAGATTCACTGTTTGTACCCGACACAAACTTGGCTTTTGGTCGGAGGAATTTCTCCTTAATGGGTCCTGCTGTCTGGAATGGTTTGCTTGGAGACCTTCGTGAACCTGCGTTGTCTGTTATTCATTTTCATAAAAGGTTGAAGCTACATCTTTTTTTTGTCCAAGCCTACTCGTGCTAATGTCTTTTTCTCTCCATTCACTGCATTGTTTTAGTAAAATAAATTTAAACATGACAGAACACGGGAAGACGCATGCAAATACATACACACAAACACACACACGCCAGCATACAACCAAGCAAGCAAGGTAGGTAGTGCTCGGTGGTATGCAGTATGTTACAGCATAAATTCAATTAACTTCTCGATTCGATTTTTCAGTTCCGTCATTATTGTACTAACATCTGCATCGAGATATCTACATCAACTGTTTTTAAACAACTTTTTATTATTTACCTGCTTCTTATATTCATTTGAAATTTATTTTTGTCCTGTGCTTTCTGGTGATGAACTTTATTTTATCCTTTCAATAAAATCATCAACGTCGTTATTTTCATCGTTATCAGCATCTTTTTTCTTCTCATCATCTTCCTCCTCATCAGCATCATCGTCAGCATCATCATCGGCACCGTTAATGATCATTTGTTGGTAATTCCATTTAAAATTTTTGCATGCCGGGAAAGCAGTTTTAATTGAACACGCTGAAATTATTTGAATTATTCATTGGATCTCCCGTCCATTTGTTTGTTCGTTCGCTTGTTCGTGCGATCGTTCGTTTGTTCGTTCGTTCTTTCCTTTATTTGTTTGTCGTAACACCTTCTTTTTGGCAATTTTCTCAAAATTGTTTCTGTATGAAAATAAATTTTGATGTACCTGCTCCAATCTCATCGTACTTATAGTCGGTCGGCCAGTCAGTCGGTCGGCCAATCAATCAGCCAACAAAACGATCGGTCGAGTAAGCAAGCTAGCAGGCAGACAAGCTAACAGACAGACAGACAGGCGAGTACTGGAGGGCAGTGGTGGTAGTAGCAGGCCAGATGATATTAATATCATTAGATGCTCATTAAAAGACAATCAGGAACATCTGCCTGCTCTACTTCACTGCACCCCACTCCTCCTCATCTCACATTAAAAACCTGTAAAATTTCATCGCCCCAAGTCACGTGGCTTAAAACGCTGTTAGATACCTCGTGTACGTCTCGCGCGTCTGCTTCTTACCGTCTGCTTCCCATTTTTTATTTCGTTCCATCAAATTTTCAATCCTCGTTCACCAAGTTATCATCACTACCCTCATCACCACTATTCTCACCACTACCACCATCGTCAAACACACATCACACAACAACCACACACGACAACCACACACCAGGGTAGCTGAATACTTCCTGGACACGACGCACGACCTCAACTTGTCCGCCATCAGAACTGTCAGAGTTCTCAGGCCTCTCCGAGCCATCAATAGGATTCCTAGTTTGTGTTTGGTTGTTATTTAGAAAATATTTGCACAGAAATGACGCCTGTTGAGATTCTTTTAAAAGCTCTCTTTCAAATCAATAATGTCTTTTGCGTAACTTAACGCGTTATGTGTATTGCGGCTACAACAATGGATATTACATACGGCGCAAGCATAGACAGACACACATTCGTACACATACACAAGTACACATACACACGTACGTAACCAACCCCACAGGGCTCTATCACGTACATGCACATATGCATACAGGCAAAGTGACAGAGCAAATAAATAAGCAGAAGCATATATTAAAAAAAGCAGGTGCTGGAAACGACGAAAGATGAGGGGATGCTCAAAAAAGTGTATAAATGAAAAATGTATGCATCACATCACTTAAGTTCCTAAAATATTACTGACTCTGGCTAGTAACGGTAAACCACACAAGGCTCCAAACACTCTGATATGTAATTATTAGGTACAAACATGCACAATCTAGCAAGCAAACAGATATGATGATGATGTGTGTGCTCACATCTGCAGCTCAATTACCGACAAACCACAAATCATTCCATCCCCCTATTTATTCCTCAAAGAGCAACTACATATAGGCAGTACATTGTAATGCGTGGTAATGTTTTGAAACTTATCGTGATGTGTTGTAATATTTAAAATGTCTTGCTATTTTTTTCTTTAAGGTACAATATGCGCATGAGTTGTTACAATTTGCATTGTTTCAAGTTGTACAAATCCAAATCTCGCAACCAGTTTGGTGTCAGCAGACATTCCTAGCAACATGTGTGTTGATCTATGGCTGCTTTCTGCTCTTTTGCAATTCTAATTTTGTGCATCATTTTGATTTTTTCGCGTCAGTCTGCTCTTTAGTTTGTTCTTGCCTTCCCACTCAGATGTAGAAATATAAAAAACATACTTACGTACCATACATACATACATACATCTTGCTCTTATGCTCACACACACTTCATACACACAAACTTGTTCACAGATATATAAACTCACGTGCAGTGCATATTGTAAGTACGTACCTTGCTTTGAAATTGGTGTTGTGAACGTTATTCCATGTTCCTGTTGGATAACAATACTCTACAGAAAGATGAAATCAATTCGTCGGAATGTGAAACGAAGCGAATAAATATTACATAAGCTTGCGTGGATGTGGTGAGAGTGCTAGGAACATGTCACCACACACATCACCACACACACGTCACACCACACGTCAGAGTCTGGAAAGGGATGTGCTAACGATATATCGATATTTGAAAAATATTGACATCGGTATTTTCATGAACGATATATCGATAATTGAACTCTCAAACATTCTCAAATTTTGGTCCGAGAGAGAGAGAAAGAGAAATTGTAAAAAATATGTTTTTATGGTTGATAATAGAGACAAATTATTGCTTTCATATGTAACTTTCATGATCAATAATGATGTTGTTACTGGCGTTGTTGTTGTTTAGTCTTCCTTATTGTTGTTGTTTGTTGTTGTGTTGTTGTTGTTGCTACTGCATCTGCTCGGAATTAAATCGGGATCACTAAAGATAAACTGAGCTCAAAAGCAAATAAAGAAATGTTTCAAGAATTTGATGAACGAGAGAGAGAGAGAAAGAACTGAAGGAATGAATAAAAAGTGAAAAAACGTGTATTAACTAGAAATTAGCGAGTAGAGAGGCAAACAAATGCAAACGATGGCGACTTGTTGTGATGGTTGCCTGGCGACTTGTATACGTGTGTGCATATCAACAAACATACGTGTGTGCGTGCGTGCGTGTGTGTGTGTTTGCAGTTGCATGCTGCAATTGTGTTTCAAGTATTCAAGTTTATTTTAAAATGTGTACACCATGAAATGTATCAACGTGATTGTACGAACCTACACGTGTCTGCGTGTTTGTATGTGTCTTGATTGTATAGATGCACTGCGTATGTATGTGAATTAGTAAATTATATATTATTTAGATGTTAAATTCATGTAAGAATGAAAATGTACGTGTAAAGAAGATAGTTGGCAGGGCAGTAAGAGAGAGAGAGAGAGAGAGAAAGAGGGAGAATGACATCATTGGTTGTTGTTTGATATCATTGGAGTGAAACGCTGGTGAGACCTGGATGGATGTTCTACTCTGCATGTAACAGGTCGTTTTCTCTTCGGTATCTGTATGTATTTGTCTGTCTGTATGTTTGTGCGTGTGTATGCATGTGTGTGTGTATGATTTTCAGCATGCGTGTTTTTATGTTTCAATAATCTTTCTTCATACTGCTTGTTAAACATCAGAGCATATACACAAAACGACTGTTTGAATTATTTTTATTTCATTATTAGTTGCACTGTCCTAGGGGATGCAGTTTGCATAATTTCGTACGTCCGATGAGCGGTAGATTATGCATCGGTTTGTTGCTGGCTCTTTAACAAGCAACAACTGCTGAAACGTCAGCGCAGCAAGATGAGGTCTTCAGTTATTGAATCTGAAAGGAACAATCGGAATAGACATGCAAATGTAATGATAAAAAAAAGAGTAACAGAGAAAAGCAAAATAGGAAAAGAAAAGAATCTTGAAAAAAAAAGAAAAAATGTTGGACGACATGAATTTATTTATTCTCTCTCTCAGAAACTCGGAATTATTTTTTAGAAAAAGATCTGATTGGCGCAGACCGGACAACTTGTTTACTGCAACAACACCAACAACAACTTTACATTTGTCACTTATGAAAACACTCATCCCTGCAAAAAATGTGCAAACCTTCTAATCATTTTGGAAGACATGCAAGTCGCTCAGACAGACACGAGACTGAGAAATAAAAATGATTCTTATCTCAATTTTCTGCATTCCATCCAGTTCTTGCGAAGGACTAAGTGATCCATCAGTACATTTCTGAATGTACCAGCAAGGTTTATATTATTAGGAATTGATTGGCGATGCAGGATGGGAAAAATTAAACAAATAAACATCAACAACTTAATGTGACAAATAAACAGAAAACAACAGATGTCGGTTAATATGAGAGCATCATCACAACTCATACTCTGCCTACGTATTATCGCTCATGACGCTCGACTTACCGGACGATGCCGGAATGAAATGGCCGGAAGTGAACTCGGAAGAACTTCCGGCTATTAAAATGTCCATGCTGCTTTTCAATTATTTATTATTTGTCTTTGGGGTCGCTGGTAAATGGGTTGTTTTTTTATTGATGCCGTTGTTGATGTTGTTACTTTTTAGATGTCGTAAGATGAACATTGTATGGTGAACATTGCAAGATGAGTGAACTTTTCAAGATGAACATTGTATGATAAACATAGAAAAGGAATGAACATTGTAAGATGAACATTGTATGATGAAAATTTTATAATAAATGAACATTTCAAGATGAACATTGTAAGTTGAATGAACATTTCAAAATGAACACTGTAAGATGAGTGAACATTTCAAAATGAACATTGCAAGATGAGTGAACATTTCAAAATGAACATTGTATGATGAACATTTTAAGATGAATGAACAGAATATAGATTGAGAGAGAGGGAGTGTGTGAGTGTGTGTATTGCAGCATTTAATGTTAGTCTAAGTAGGAGTTAGTTGTAGGAATGATTTTATAATGTCTACATGCTATTTCTTTCCGAATCCACCGTTTCACCATCACATTCACCATCCTCATTATTGTTATTATTTAGCATTATTATTAACATTATTATCACCACCAACCACTTATACAACATCTTAATCAGCTTTTACAGCAACAACACAAACAACGACATGCTTACAGCAACAAGAAATTGCAACATCGTTTCTGCTTGATTAGCTTCAGGCTTATTTTTATTAGGGTCATAATGATGGTCACTGCATAATAAAATATCGGGAAAAATAAATTATTATTGTATTAATATTACGATTATTATTAGCTGTAACAGTAACAATCTGTCTGCCTACATTCATACGTTGTTGAGTTTGTTGTTTATATTTTGTCCGTATAAATCGTCTACAATTTTATTGTAATTTTCAAGAATAATCACCATCGGCGTCATTTTTAACCATGGCCACCAACTTTTGTTGCTGTTTCAAATCGATTCCATATAAATAATATTAATCGACGTCTTTGTGTGACCGCTTCGAAACATATACTCGGATCAATATGTGTGTGCATTGCAATTACATATTTTTTCATATATATATATATATATATATATATATATATATATATATGGGTCTGTATGTATGTATGTAGTGTGTCTTGCATATTTTGATTCTAACAAAGGCTAACGATATTCTCGGTGCGATAGAATAAATAAGCAAATAAAGCATGGATGGATGTTATATCAGCACTGAAACAAATCTTTGAGGGTTGTCTCCACAGGTTTTTATAGTATTCATTTCACAACATCGGCAGCAAACTGAATTGGACGTAGTATGTTGATGTTGATGTCATTCAATGCACTACACTATAGGGTCAAACACGATCATGTCAATAGTTCATCACAACAAATCTTTCTGTTCGAGCTTGTTCATCATATTTTGTTCTTCCTTTCTACCTGTCTTCATGTTTTCGTTTAAGCATTTATTTATCAATAATAAATATATTAGTAATATGTAGATAAAGAGGTAGGGAGACGAAAAGAATGTTTAAAAAAATATTTCGATGAATTAAAATATTCGCCGCAAGAAATTAGCAGCTATGAAAAGAAATGGAAATGATTAGGCGAATTATTTGAATGTATTTTTCATTGTTAATTTTTTCAAAAATCTTAAACTTTTTGGCCACCACCCGCCAAATTTGCTTAGATCAGCCCAAAACTAACTAAAATAACTTGAAATATTTACTAATACTAATATTATTTATAGTTTGAACTACAAACACTTTCTCTTTTAAACATCAACTACAACAATTACTTTGTGGTACTAGCGATTGTTACAATTCAAAACGACCACGAAACTAGGCCTGAGAATTCTTGTGATGCTCTTGTTGGACACTCTCCCCATGCTCGGCAACGTTCTGCTTCTTTGTTTTTTCGTTTTCTTCGTTTTTGGAATTCTCGGTGTTCAGCTCTGGGCCGGCCTTCTTCGTCAGAGATGCTACCTCAAGCTGCCTGATAATGCTACTGCTGATGGGTCAGTTCCTATTGTTATTTCTATTTTTGTTCTGGTGAATGTTTTCATTTTTTATTTTAAATGGTTTTACGGAGTGCAACGATCATTTTATTTTACAACAGTTACAACCTTTCTGATTTCTACACGCCTCCCAACTCCGATAAGGAGTTCCTCTGCAGCAAGGATCAAGACAACGGGATGACCAAATGTTCCGATATCCCACCACGTTACTTCAACGGCAAAAAATGCAATTTACCAGCTCCTGAAATCATTACAAAAAAATTGTTAACAATCTTCCAACAGACGTCAGAACGAGATGATGGCGGAACTTCTGCGACCGATCTCATCAGGAACAAGAAACTGTTGGGAAGGAATGCGATAAACTTTTTAAGACCGCCTACAACTTATTACAACGGCTCAAAAAACGAACTCTTTGAAGTTATCCTAGAAGATGAGGAGCACTGCATCAACTGGAACCAATATTACACGGAGTGCAAACCTCTCGGCGACAATCCCTTCCTTGGATCCATATCATTCGACAACATCGGAATGGCCTGGGTCGCCATCTTTCAGGTTATCTACAAATTTTTAATACGCTTTAATAATTTGCTTGTTTATTTTTTTCATTTAAAGTATCCACTTAAATTAAATTTATTAAAAATCAGTTGGCTAGAAATAAAATAACCAAACTCAAAATTTGCAGGTGATTAGCATGGAGGGTTGGTCAGAGATTATGTATTACATCCAGGACACGCACACCTTCTGGGACTGGTCATATTTTGTTCTCCTCATCGTGGTTTGTTTCTTCTTTTATATTATTCTCTACTACTACTTTTTTTCTTTTGAAATAATAATATTAAATTAACATTTATAGTAAGACTAATCATAATAAAATGAGTGCCATGCACACTCTCACAAACCCATACGTACAGATAGGCTCCTTCTTCATGATCAACTTATGCCTGGTCGTTATTTCAGCCCAATTTTCAGAAACAAAGCAAAGGGAGATGGAGAGAATTTTGATGGAGAGGAACATGGTGAGGTTTCGTTCGAGTATGAATTCCCTGTCGACGATTGCATCCGAAGATGACGACATGGAGGCTGGCTGCTACGAACAACTCATGGCGTTCGTCTCAATTCATTGCTCTTTCATTCTCTTTCTTTCTTTTTTTCTTATCAATACGCTTACTGTTTCTTACTCGTTTGTTTGAGGCATTAGTCTTGGTTTAACATTTTTATAACCATGTTTGCTTTTGACTTTATTATGGGCTAACTACTTTATAATAATTTATTAGTCATTAGTACATGCAACTTATACACATTTGCACATGTACACACAAACACACACAAACAAAAACACACACGAATATACAAAAACCAAATCCTAAAACAGCTGCATCGAAAGGTACGCGAGACGGTACAAAAGAAGATTTAAAAAATGGTTCATGGGACGTTTTCGAAAAAAAGTAATTCCAAGTCTCTCAGCGGCATCGTCAGAACGTAAATCATTTTTTTCCCGTAAGTCAAAGAAGAACACGTTGCCAAAGCTTATTGTTACGCGGCCGAAGAACATGGTTGTACCTGTCCATTCTCACAGCCAGTCGAGAATTCCGAAGATTGCCTTCAATCAAAATTCAAACTTATATAATCGCAATGAAAACAATAATGTTAATATCGATGATGAATGTGATGAATTTCTTGGAAGGAGTTTGATGGGTGATGACACGGCAGTGAGGAATGATGAAGCCGAGCAAGCGGGCGAGAATGAAAATAATTCAACTGCCACACAGAACTACCAAAACATCTACGTTTCCAACAACACAGCACTAAGCATGTATAATGACGACAACCAGATTTTCCAAAATATCTGTGATAACAACAATATTAACGTCAAAGACACTTGCCGCTTTAATAATATTTCAAATTTTCAATTAAAAAATGAAACATCCAAGATGAAGAAGGCAAACAGCAACGCCGACGACGATGAAACGAACGAATTATCATCGATGCGCTTATCTTCAACTTTCAGCGATATCGATTTGTTTTCAATAGTGAACGGTTTGTTCCCTGTAGCCAGCAAGTCCTCACAAGTTCAAAAATTTGCTCCACGAGCGAGTCCAGAACGATCGGACCTGGATATCAACTCCCTGCAATCTTATTTGCTCGTCTCTGATAAAATGAACGGATTGAATGATGAAAGCAAGTGCATGTGCCTGATGGACGACAGTAGATGCATGCACACCAACCCTTCTTTAAACGTGATTGATAACTGCTCGTTACGGGATAGAGCAATTATTTGGCAGGAAGAAAAGTTCCTCGGCGGAAACTGCAGACCATCTTCTTACCACGAACCAAACCTGAGAATTGGTTCTTTCACTCGCGAACGCAGCACGTCAACGAATCGCCGGCATAGCAACTGCAACGACAATTTTGAAGTTGGTGCTCTTGACAGTTGTAACTGTCATTTAACTAATGATCTTCCTACACCCTTTTTAAAATTTAGAGATAGTTTCAAACGTTTACAATTAGAGCTAAAATCACAGAAAATACATCAACAATATAAACCACAAATTTTTTCTGACGTTAACACCTCGAGTAGTAGCAGCGCCTTCCACTTTGCGATACTATCACTAAAACGACAAAATTTAAACCAAAGAAGAATTTCTTTAATAGATCAACAACATCATCATCAAGAATGCCAACAACATCATCATCAAGAATACCAACAACAGCAGCAACTGTCTCAACAGCAAAAACGAAAAAAGATTGATCACATGACCTCTGACGTCACAAAGTATTGTAAATATAATGAACATAAATCAAACAAACAAATGAGTCATACGTCTTACTCTGTCAAACCTCTATCTAAGTCATCACCATCATCGCCGCTTCCATCACCTTCATCGTCTTCATCATCATCGTCTTCGTCATCATTAAAGTTTTCACCATTTCCTCTCCCTCGCCAATCTTCGTCGCATCCTATCAGCCCGTCTTCACCGCACGACATAAATTTTAAAAAGACGTTTCTGTCACTGTCATCGTCAACAATCGAAAAACAACTACCATTTTCATTCTCATCATCACCGTCAGTCCGTGTTTCACCAATGCTTCATTCATCATGCACATTGTTGGCTCCGTCACCAAACATGCAAGTTAAACATTTTGCTGATGCTGAAATGATGATATCAACAACATCATCATCAGTAACAATATCGGCAACAACATCAACTACAGCAGCAGCAGTAGCAACACAAGCAGCAACAACATCAGCAGCACACCCATCTGCCTACATAACAACATGCACGCAGACGACAGCAGCTACCACCTCGAAGGCTCATGATACAACATACTTCTCCGCCGGCAAATTGACATCACATCCATCACAGGTAGGTCCATCTCTAATTAACATTACTACTTCTTCTTCATCGTCGTCGTCAACATCAGCAAAAAGGGCAGAAGTAACAAATCAACCAGCAACAACAATTTTGTGGCTTTCAGGCGCGACTGCAACTAAAAAATGGCTGCCAACAACCTCAGCCTCCTCAACAACCCCAACAACATCACCAACAACATCATTATCAAGAAGAATATCAACGACAGCAACCTATTTAATTCATTCGCAGTCGAAATGCCAGCCACGTGAAAGTTCAAGGTCGACATCGGCTCTCCGAGGTTACCATAAATTAGTTTCTAATGCACAAATCGTCCAAAAACTATTCCACGCACACACACACACACACACACACACACACACACACACACAAGCCTGACTGCAAATGTACCTACAAATATAAACTCGATGTATTCATCACCCAAGTTTGTTATAATCAGAGCAGCTTTTATTCTATAAAAGTTTTTGAAAATGCAAATTACTTATCGTAAAATTCATTATGCCACTTCTACGTAGCACCAACATCTCACTGCTTGCATGTAACACGAACAATGAAGTCTGGACCAGACAGCTCACTCCATGCATTCCTTCCCATCAAACAACGTGCAGAATCTTTCCTAAAGAACATTTTAACCCCTTGAAAAGATTTTTTCGTTCATTTAATGAAATCTTCAAGTTTATTTTTGTGGAAAGAAATTAACGTTGAATTTGTGAATTGTTAGCTTTCAGCAGCACAACCGAACAACTTTTTCAAAAGTTGAAAAAATATTTGAGGCTTCTCTTTCTGCAACAATTGGAGTGAATGAATTGAA